AAAACTGAAAGCAACAGGTGAACAAACAAGAAAAACAAGCAAAACCTCACAGACACCGACGACAGTGTGATGGTTACCAGAGGGAAGGGGGTGGGGGGTAGCAAAGGGTAAAAAGGGTGAAGTGTATCGTGATGGAAGAAGGTCGGACTTTGGGTGGTGGGCACAACGCAATGTGAAGATCACGCGTCATAGAGATGTACACCTGAAACCTATATAATCTTTTAACCATTGTCACAACAATAAATTTAATTAAAGAATAAAAAGTTAGAAAATATTTCACGAATATAACCATACATATTTAATCTTTACAGCAATTATGTGAGGAAAAGCTTACCTAAAGTAATTAAAAACATTTAATGGATACCAAGCACTCTATACCAAGCACAATTATAAGAACATTCCACATTTTCAAAGACTATAATTAGAGTGGTGCATGTCAAAATACAGATTTGTGGGACATCATACCAAGGAGACTATTCAGTTACTTGGCAGAGACTTTCCTAGTTTACCTTTATCATCCTGCCTTAATTATTAATAATGCCCCCTTTTCACTCTCAAAAGTGTCCTAGTTGTAACAATAAATTTTAACTCATTAGTTAAGGTTGAGGTTACTGGTGCAGGGCATGCTTTCTGCTTCTTTAGAGATGAGAAGCTGATGTTCAGAGATTTTAAGTTACTTGCCCATAATCACATCCCCCAAAATCAGACCTTGAACTTGGCCTTTAGACCTGTAATCCAAATTCTTTTTAATATGCCATGTTGTCTCTTTCCTGGATAAATGTTTCCATTTGAGTTGAATCTTCTAGGAAAGCTCTATCCGTTCCTATTGTGAATGCAGCCCTAAGTTACTGTTTACCATTCTTAGATCCATGTGTGTGATAACTACAAACCTGTCTGCCTGTGGGTCTTGAAATAGTAAGGATGTTGAATGTTTAAGATTAAAGAATAATATTTGAAGTTATAGGGACAAACTATTTTTTAAAACATGGTAAACAAAATCTCAGTCTGAAGTGATGTTATTTTCATGAGATTTTTCTCATAAATTTTCTTTGTTTTCAGTTTTTATCTTACATAAAATAATGTTTATTCTGCCTTAGAACCAACAGAAATGTCTCCTGTTTCGCTTTTCCTGTCACTGATATCCTGCATTAGCATGATTCCTACATGACTGTGTTTTGAATGGTTTAGCGGGGTAGAGGCCTACATGTAGGATGTAGGGGATGAGGTAGACACCTAAGACATGTTCCCAATCTTCTCCATCCATGTTTTATTTTTGTGCCTCACCATATTTCATAAGTATGGGTACCCAGGGGTATTTTCTAAACACTTCCCCCAAACTGGGAGTTGTCTAGCATTAGCCGTGCTCCTGTTCATATTAAGTCACTATATTATAAGACTGTTTTTCCTCTTGCCCAGAGTATAGGAGTTAATAACAGTGGCTGGTACCCAAACATGACAGACACCGCACTGGATGCCTCACACTGCATTATCCCATTTAATCTATCCAACAGCCCTTAGAATGTAATATCATGCCTATTTTAGAGATAAGTAAACTGAAATATAGCAGAATCCCAGTTAGTAAGCAAGAACCTAGATTTAAAACCAAATCTTCCTGGCACAACAATCTTTTTTTCCATATCAGAATTCCCCCATAGCAGTTATTCTGTTAGCCCTCTCTGTGGACGGAGCCTAAGGGAAACTGTCAGAAGCCTGCAAAGATGCCTTTGTCAACAGTTGGCTGCTCCGCAGTGGGGCGCCGCCCAGTGGCCATGCCTCTTTCTTCAACATCAGCACAAGTACAAACTGACTTCAGGTCCAGATGATCTCCAATTGGAAGCTGACAAAAGTAGTTCAGAAAAAAAATGAAAAATACTGACTTTCCTCCACAAACAGAATCTCTATAAAGGCTAATACTCTAAGACAATAATAAAACAGTAAACCAATTGCATTATTATATTGTGATAATGCTATTCTAGTTCTAATGATCACTAACTAAAATGCTTAGTCTAAATCCAGAACTTCAGTTATGTTAATAATTTTTGTCCTATTTCAAGTATTTTTACACTAATCCGTTTTTATAGCCTTTTGTTCTTGCTACAAAACTTTCCACTAATTATGACTTCCTTCTTTTCCTTCTCTTTAGGAAAGCCCATTATTCTTTTAACTCTACGTCCACCTGTCATTTACACCTCTCCAGACCCGCAAGAGGCCTTGATGAGTTACCAGTAATTATGAAGGTGTTCAAGGCTCATCCTAAATTAGATACTTTACATTTTTATGTATATCTAATTTTTTTTGTTAAGCATGGAGTCTATCATTGCTTTCCAGCATTAATATTTTTAAAAAGCTTAAAATAGTTTAAAGAAGAGCTACCACCTCAGAACATTCTAAAATTCTCTTCAAGTCAACACATTTATTGGGTGCTGTATTTCCTAAAACCTAGAAACACAGTGGTGGACAAGAAAAGACATGGTCTCTTCATGGGACTTGAGTAAATCCTTAAATTAATTTTCAACTTTTTATTTATTTATCTAACAATGATTTATTTATTTACTTTATCTTTATTGCTGTATATAACAATTATTTAAATGCCAGCTATTTGCAGGTGCTGTGATAAATAATGGTTCAATGACAAATTACTAGTTTACACTCAGGAACCTTACAGTTTAGTAAAACCTAAATTCATCTTCACTGGAATTTCTTTGGTATATGTGGATAGTATTAACCTATCTTACCACTTCCAATTCTTTCAGAAGATAAAATTTTCAATTAGTAACTATTAATTACAAGAGAAGATCAGAGGAATTGAATGGAAATTATAATTAGAAGTCAGGAAAATTATAAATTAGACAATTTGCATATACTTTGGATTTCAGAAAAACAGATCATAAATGTAAAAACTGAGATTGAAAACTTTCATATATTTTTTATTTTTATTGGGGTGACATTGGTTAATAAGATTATATAGGTTTCCAGTATACATTTCTGTGACACATGATCTGTATATTGCATTGTGTGCCCATCACCCACGGTCAAATCATCTTTTGTCACCACATATATGGTGAAAACATCTCCCTTTGAACAATGATTCACAAGCTCGTTTTAAACTCAAACATTGTAACAGACAGCTGACCACAGCACACCCTAGCAGCAGCTTCCCATTTTCTTCTAAAAACAAAACCATAATGAAACTCATAGAAGCAGAATGCAGAATGGTGGTTGTTAGGGACAGGTGAGGAGGTATTGGGGAGCTGCTAATTAAAGAGTATAAAGTGTCAGAAAATGAGTAAGTTCTAGAGACACGCTTATAACATTGTGCCTGCAGCTAACAATATGATAAATTTAAAAATCTGTTAAGGGGGTAAATCTTACATTAATTTTTTACTAGAATAAAATTTAAATTTAAAAAATCAGACAACACACCAAAAAGTTTCAGAACTGAAGTATTTCATTGTACTAGGATACAAAAATTCCAATTGCTTGCAAAGATTAAATATCCCGTGTGACATAACTTCACTAAAAGCTACGATCTACATAATACAACATAGCTGCTAACTCTAAACAATTTAAAACTCCGGGACTGTTTCTTTTTAGTCAAATGAAAATAGACAAATAAGAAAATGCTGAAACTAAGGAATATATCCTATTAAATTGATATCAAAACAATCCAAATCTTAATGCTCATTGAACTGCATCTCAATCCACTGCTCTCAGCAGAGGCATGGATGCCCAAAATGACCTTAGATGGCCCGGCCGGCATGGCTCAGTGGTAGATCATCGACCTATAATCCAGGAGATCAAGATTCAGTTCCCGGGCAGGGCACATGCCCGGGTTTCTGGCTCAATCCCCAGGGTGGGGGGGACATGCAAGAGGCAGCTATCAATGACTCCCCTCATCATTGATATTTCTATCTCTCTCTCTCCCTCTCCATTCCTGTCTCTGAAGTCAATAAAGATGTATTTTTTTAAAATGACTTTAGATGGGTATTTAGGGTATTTGATTGCATCTCTGGGTAACTGTAGATATGCACTGGAAAGGAATCGGAAGGATCAGGCTTCCAACTTGGTCTATTTTAGGGGATTTATTGTTGAATAATTGGTTGTGGACATTAATTAAATTGTGTTTATCTGTTCAGTATTGAGACCTCTGTTTTCTTGGCCCATCCACTATTTCACCATGCTAATACTTTATTTGCTTTGTATCCATACTCATTAAGGAATATTATATCTCTAGATGTGAAGGCATAGATTTGCTTTACTAACCCCTAAATATCTTTGGAAGAATTTCTTTTTTTGCTTTCTTTTTTTAAATTGTTGACACTATTATAGATGTCCCCATTTCCCCCCCTTTGTCTGCTTCCCCACAGTCCCTGCTCCTCCCCACTCCCCTTCTTCTGGCATCACCACACTATTGACTGTGCCCATGGGTTATGCATATATATCTTAGGCTAATCCCTTCACCGTCTTTCATCCGGCCTCCCCCTCCTTTTCCCCCGACAGCTGTCAGTCTGTTCCATGCTTCCATGCCTCTCTTTCTATTTTGTTTGTCGGTTTATTTTGTTCATTAGATTCCACATATAAGTGAGATCATATGGTATTTGTCTTTCTCTGACTGAATTATTTTACTTAGCATAATAATCTCCAGGCCCAGAACTACCTTTTGACTCAAAAAACCCCTACTTCTGGGAATACATCCTAAGAATCCTGAAACATCTCAGAAAAAATGTATGTGCCCCTCTGTTCATAACAGCATTATTTACAATAGCCAAGATCTGGAAACGGTCCAAATGGAAGAATTTGTCATTTTTAATTTCATCATCATTATATTTAAACAACCATTGGTGACAATAATTGTACTGTATGGTGTCTGTCACAAAACAGTCTCCACATTCATGCTTTCACGTCTTTTGTCTCTATGCAGACCTCCGGCCCGGGACCATGAGAAATCGCACAGAGCTAAACGACTTTATTCTCCTGGGAATCCCTCAGACTCAGGGCCTGGAGACGGGGCTCTTTGTCATCTTCTCGTTCATTTACCTCCTCACCCTGCTTGGCAATTTACTCACCCTCACAGCAATTGCTTTTTCCTCTGGTCTTCACACCCCCATGTATTTTTTCCTGGGACTCCTATCTATTTTTGACATGTGTTTTCCATCTGTCGCCTGCCTCAAGCTGTCACTCTACCTCTCTGGACAGAGCCATGCCGCTTCTGACAAGGGACGTGCTGCGCGACTCTTTTTCCATCACTTCCTGGGGGCGGCCGAAGGCTGCCTCTATTCTGTGATGGCTTATGATCGCTTAGTTGCCATCTGTCACCCACTGCGGTATGTGGCCATCCTGAGACCTGGAGTCTGTGTCGGTTTGGTCATGGCAGCCTGGTTGGTGGGCTGTCTTCAGGCCACCATCCTGACCTCCTTCACCTTTCAGCTAACGTGCCAATCAGGTGGACTACTTCTTCTGTGACATGCCTGCTGTCTTACCCCTGGCGTGTGAGGACAGCTTCCTGGCCCAGAAAGTGGGTTCCACGAGTGTTGGCTTTCTGGCTTTAAGTCTTTGGTTCAGTGTTTGTGTCTCTTACACATTCATCGGAGTTGCCATTCTGAGAATCCGTTCAGCAGAGGGCAGGCAGAAAGCTTTCTCCACCTGCAGGGCACACCTCACTGCAGTCCTCTGTGCTTATGGACCGGTGGTCATCATCTATCTGCAACCCACGCCCAACCCCTTGCTTGGTGCTGTGGTGCAAATATTAAATAATATTGTCTCCCCCATGCTGAACTCGTTAATCTATTCTTTAAGGAACAGAGAAGTGAAAAATTCCCTGAAAAGAATGTTCCACAATGTAGCCCTTACATCTCTGGAAGAAGTTAAGTGTTTTGTAACGGGTTTTGGAAATTTGTCTCTTAATATCATTCTTCTATATTCTCCTCTTAAATAGAAACGGCTTCCTCTAAAGCATTATATTTTGTTTGCCTGATAAGATTTTCTATGTTTTTGTGTCTCTGTAACCGTGGGGCATCATAAATGACTCTGCAACTAGTATTATCCTCAGTGCCTTCGTTCTGGGCAAGGAATCCAAGGGGCACAGCATGCAGATTTCTTACCCCTACCATGGGCAGCCAATTGTGCCTGCTTGAGGATAACAAGGATCTCTGTCAGTCCAAGAAGCACACTTCAATAGTCTGTCTCTGTGCCAAATCACCCCTCCTTTCATTTTTCTTGCTACACTTAAAATGCAGTTGTTCCCCTTTTCTGCCTATAAACACTTCAGTTCCCCCTTGTTGTTAAGACAAGTATTAACTAATATTTATAGAGCATGATCTGTTCTACAATGAACATTTCATAGATATCACTGTATTTAATCTCCACATCACCCCTATAGAGTTTCCATTTAAAAAAAAAAAAAAAAAAGATTTGAGGATTAGAGACTTCAAATAATAAGCTCAATATTGCACATTAAGCAGATACCAGACCTCAAACAGATCCGGTTAACTCCAAAGTCCCTACTCCTGATCCCTCTGTGACATGACTGCCCTAGAAGACCTGCTTGGCAATTTACTCACCCTCATTACCTTTATCCAGAGCTCATAATATATAGAAATGTCAATAAAAAACTGGTAAAATATGCACTGAGATAAGTCACATTTATGTATTGACTTTACTGTCACCTCCATTTATTCTGTGCCTCTACTCGTGTACGCATCTACAGATGGGGCACTGGATATAGCAATATGTCTCTTGCCCTTTATGACACATCTAGTTATGGTAAAGCCAGGCAAAGACCCCGCCCCCTTAACTCCTACTGCCATGGTTTCCTACTGCCCTGGGCTGCCAAGATCACAAAGTAGCCTTAGTGTAAAGGGTTGGAAAAGCCTTTCTGCCCACTGTAATGATGGGGTTCAATTGCCATGCTCATTGGAATCTCCCACCAAGGTATATCTGTTAGCTTGTCCTTCAGCAATACTGAGTTGATAATTATTTCCCAATTTTCTCCAGAACCCAGAGAGAAGGAATGGGTACAATTTACTAGGTACCAACAGACACACTGACCCTTAGTTTTCATGACATTTTAGTGATTTGTAATTTTTTTATTCCATTTTTACTGATAAAAGTTTTCATCCTATTTGAAACCATTAAAACAGCCTAAAAAGTAAAAATCCCAAGTAAAATAAATTGCTGCCCTTTCAAAAGGCATGCGGCAAAAAAGAACAAAATTAAGCCCATTCAAGTATAGATAAATGGTTTGAGATACAATGTGAGGTGTCTACGGCCATTCTAACCTGACTAGCAAAACTTAAGATCACACAGAATCTAATGCTCAGACTTTGGGAATGGCTATTTGATAGTATATGCTGGATAGAAGCAATTCTAAAGTATTAGTTTATTGTCCTATTAACACTGGATATTGGTGAAAGAACCCACATTCTATGATATCTGGTAAAGCCTGAATATGCTTATGAACAGATACTCAACACACTAGCACTTATACTTGCTCAATATGTATTTTTATACAATGGAAAATTCCATAAAAAAGATCATGTTTGTCTTATTTATTGCTGTGTCCACAGGACATAGGCTGCTGACTTAGTAAGCACAGTGTAAGTTTGTTGAATGAATGATACTACAATATTAGCAGTTCTAATTAATTGTAATTGTGTATTTATTTACATAAAAAAGGAACATGAAGGAAATAACTAAGATTCAGAACAACAACATGCACACACTTAAATACATATTTGCATTTTAGTAAAATTAAAAGTATATGAAAGTTGAAATCTGAATGAACTCTGACCTCTTTTTGGTCAATTCTCAATCAGTGTTGTAATAACAGTTTGGTAAAGAAAAGAAAAAACTTTAAAATAGTTTAAATCTTTCTTACATCTAAAATTTTAGTAATTCTCCCAACATAGAGTTTTATTTAAAACACTCTTGTGAGCACACACATGCCTACACCACTCCAAAGAACACACACAAATGGCCAAAAAGCATATGAAAAGATGCTCAGTATCACCAATCATTAGAGAAATGCAAATCAAATTCATAATGAGCTATCATTTCATACCTATTAGGATTGTTATCACTTAAAAAAGTAAAAAGAAGTCCTAGTTGGTGTGCCTCAGTGGTTAGAGCATCGGTCCGCACACCGAAGTGTCATAGGTTTGATTCCTGGTCAAGGGCATTGTGCCTGGGTTGTAGGTTCGATTCCTGGCCCTGGCTGGGGAGCGTGCAAGAGGTAACCAATGGATGTGTCTCTCTCACACTGATGTTTTTCTCTTCCTCTCTCTCTCTCTTTTTCTCTGCCCCTCCCTCCCTTCTACTCTCTCTAAAAAATCAGTGGAAAGAATATCCTTGAGTGAGGATTAACCAAAAAGAAGTGAAAAGAAGTGTTGACTAAGATGTGGAGAAATTAAAGCCTCTGTGCACTGTTGGTGGGAATATAAAATGGTGCACGACTATGGAAAATAGTATGGTGCTTCCTCAAAAATTTAAAAATATGATTACAAGTAATCCAAGATGGCAGCAGAGTAGGTGAAAGACACACACACCTCCTCCCAGGACCAAACTGGAAAAACAACTAAACTACAGAGAAATCAACCTGAATAACCAACTAAAGTCCAGCTGAACAGAAGCATTACAAGCAAGGATTTACAGAAGATCCACATGGAGACTGGTTGGAAGGGCTGAGACACAAAAGGGGCTGACCCCAAACACACATGCCACAGAACCTGAAGGGATATATCAGCTGCAAAGGTTCCCCATGAAAAATGCAGGGTCTTAATCCCAAGCAGAGCTTTCTAGCACAGAGCAACAAAGCCCAGAAGAGCTCACATATCATCTGGATGTAAAATCAGAAAAAGCTCTGTTCAACAGGGAGAGAAAGGAGTCTGATAGAAAGCCAGACACCCTCTTAAAGGTCCATCAACAAAATCTCATTTGCAGCTACTCACCTTACCCTCCAGGAAAGAGAGAGTGGCTCAGAGTGGACCAGAGTCATATGAAGAGAAACTGGTTAATGCAGTTCCTAGGACACCTGCTACATAAGGCAACCATACCAAGATTGGGAGACATGGCAAATCTATCCAATATAAAGGAACAAATACAGAGAGAAAGCCAAAATAGGAAGAAAAAGAAATATGCCCCAAATGAAAGAACAGCAGAAATCCTTAGAAAAAGCACAAAATAGAATGGAAGGAAGAAATCTGTCAGATAAAGAGTTCAAAGCAATGGTTATAAGGATACTCAAGGAACTTAGGGGAAGAATGGATGAACTAAGTGAGATAATTAGCATAAAAGAGTACATAGAAACCATAAAAAATTCTGGTCAGAAATTAATAAAATATCTGGAAAAAAGAATGCAGTGAAAGGAATCAACGGTAGGGTAGAAAAAGCAGATCAAATCATTGATTAAGAACAAGGCAGCAGAAATCACTCAACCAGAGCAACAAAAAGAGAAAAGAATTTAAAAACTGAGAATAATTTAAAGGACCTCTGGCCCCAGCCAGTTTGGCTCATTGTTTAGGGCATCAGCCCTAGGACTGAAGGGTCTTGGGTTGAATTCTGGTCAAGGGCACATGCCTTGGTTGCAGGCTCTATCCCCAGCTCCAGTAGGGGCACATGTGGGAGGCAACCAATCAATGTGTCTCTCTCACATCGATGTTTCTCTCTCTTGTTCTCTCTCCCTTCTACTGTCTCTGAAAAGCAATGGAAAAAATATCCTCAGGTGAGGATTAAAAAAATAAAACAAAAAAAATAAAGGACCTCTGGGACAACATGAGACGTAACAATACTGGAATCATAGGAATGCATAAAGGAGAGAAGAAAGAGCAAGGGATTGAAACCTCTTTGAAGAAATAATAATTGAAAACATTCTTAACCCAATGAAGGAAAAAGCCATACAAGTCCAAGAAGCACAACGAATCCCAAACAAGCAGAACCCAAAGAGGCCCATATCAAGACACATCATAATTAAAGTGGCAAAGGTTAAACACAAAGAAAAAACTATTTAAAGCTGCCTGAGAAAGACAGTTACCTACAAGGGAGCTCCCAAAAGACTGTCCACTGATTTTTCAACAGAAACTTTTCAGGCCAGAAGGTAATGGCACAAAATATTTAAAGTGATGAAAAGCAAGGACCCATAACCAAGACTGCTTTACCCAGAAAGGCTAGCACTTAAAATTGAAAAAGAAATAAAGAATTCTTCAGACAAGAAAAAATTACAGTTCATTACCACCAAGCCAGTATCACAAGAAATGTTAAGGGGACTTCTTTTAAAAAAAAAAAAAGAAAGAAAGAAAAGAAAAAAGAAGAGAAGAGAAAAGAGAAGAGAAGAGAAGAGAAGAGAAGAGAAGAGAAGAGAAGAGAAGAGAAGAGAAGAGAAGAGAA